ACCACTGTAGGAGAACCGTTTACATGTTAAACCACCATCGCTGATGAGGTTTCTGGGGCTCCTGACAGCGACCTCTATCCAGCAACAGACGACATGGAGAAATATACAGGAAGATTTATCACAACCAAATAATCCTTTAAAATAAGTCTTATTTGATTATTGTCTCTCTCAAGGTACTAACTCATCACATTTTGTATTTTATTTCAAAATACCTGGGATTTAAAACTAGGTTCAATTAATAGATCAATTTTTCCAAACTTTCTGCTTTGATGGAAAATTTTGAGTTTATCTGTCGAATTTCGACAAAGCAGAAAGTTCAAAGTCTATTGGGATATCTAACATTGTGAAAATGGCAGCCAATTCGGAAAGGGATCCATCATTATTCGTGATTTTCCGTTGCTCTTTGTAATCAACGTTATGATATTATACATATTGTACATGTTCAGATTCAATTCATAAGTCACACAATTGTGACTTTTATGTCAAATAATGACAACTCCCCGTGCACTTGACAGTAATGGTCAAAATTGCCGAATAATGTTTTTAAGAACATGGGCGAAATAGGCTGGAAAAATGCCTGTAGCTTTAATTGTATAAAAATAATAAATGATTTTTTGAATTTTTTGAAAGTTTTTATTCAAATATATGAAATTATGACAAAAAAACTTCACAGTGGAAAAAACTCTAACTGCAAAAATTATTCTATGGTAAAAAAAAAAAATGTGGTTTTCTACGGGCTTGAACTAAAGCGATAAAAAATCCTGTCAAACAAGATTTGCTTCGAGACTGACACGTTAACCTCTTTGCTACACAACTCATAATAGGTATTGACATTTAAATCTAGTCGGTGATATGACTTCAAAAATTTCTCAGAAAGATAGAAATGTTGTCATAAACTTGAATTTTTAAGGTATATTGGGTCTTTGCTCCATGCCTTTTTGTTCTACCAAAAAAGTTCTTTTTACACATACTTTGAAGATGTACTTTTTAAAAAATCAAGAAATTATCAATTTTGTCCTCTTTTATTTGCATGCTATGTAAAAGACGAATAATTTCAATAATTGTGAGATTGTCGCAAATTGTGGATAATTTACATAAAGTGTACATAAATGCTAACTTAAATATCAAAGAGAAGTTTGATAATTGAGATTAAATTTTTCACTTTCATATTTGTCCAACCATATGCATTTTCTCGTCTTCTTGTTTTTTCATATTGTATGTATCGAACCTGGCTAAAATTGGTTTGGAAATGAAAATGATGAAACTTTAATGTTTAAGTAATATTTTCTTAAAAACAAGTAAAATTATATTTGATACTGTTTAAAAGGTATTGGAAGCGTTAATGTTGGGCAGACTATAAATAATATTGATAGTCGAAATGTACACCATTTCGACGGCCAGAGATTGTAAAGAATGTTCATTTGAAGGGGGGGGGGTCCGGAAAAAAATCATAAAAACATAAACCATGGTGTCAATAAATACTCTGCATCAAGAAAACGTATACATGTATTTAAAGTGCTGCGAAACGAACATCTGGGTCGATCCAACAGTGTCTAAAGGTCAAGGCGAAAGGGGCACCTAAACTAAACACGAAAGTCTTTTTTCTTTTTGCTCATTAAAATGCAATTTTTTAACTCTTTTCCTTCTTCCTTTTTTTCTTTATCATCTTCTAGTGAGTTTTGGCTTTCTTATGCCTAGATTGTTTATCTGCTAATTAAGAGGAATCTATACCGTCAAAAGTTTGAATAGTATGGGTCTCTTGAATCCCCTACCTACTCGTATCTAAGGATCTATAAAATTGGATAGAATAAAAGCAGAGCTTTGTAATTTAAATAACTACTAAATTAAACTTTCTCCTACGCTCTATTCCAAATATGAAATTATATCATCCCCTGTGCAGGGAAAGGGGGCATAATATATTTTTTTTTTAGCCATTATGCATTTTTACAGTTTGGTTGTGGAAAGTATACTGAAGGGAAAAAGAAACGCAGAGTAGCATAGCATGCGAAAAAAAAAATTGACCTCATGACCGAAAATTTTGAAAACTGAGAGGGTTTCGCTGGGGGGCCACGCCCTCTTTCAAGGGGAGATAATTAGGAATTAGTGAAAAAATAATGGCATCATTTAAAAATCTTCTTCTCAAGAACCACTGGGCCAGGAAAGATGGTCATATTTATATGGAAGCATCCTCAGGTAGTGTAGATTCAAGTTCGTTCAAATCATGACCCCCGGGGGTAGGGTGGGGCCACAATGGGGGATCAAAGTTTTACATAGAAATATATAGGAAAATATCTTTAAAAATCTTCTTCTTAAGAACAGCAAAGCTATGATAGGTCATATTTATATGGAAGCATCCTCAGGTAGTGTAGATTCAAGTTTGTTCAAATCATGACCCCTGGGGGTAGGGTGGGGCCACAATGGGGGATCAAAGTTTTACATAGAAATATATAGAAAAATATCTTTAAAAATCTTCTTCTTAAGAACAGCAAAGCCATGATTAGTCATATTTATATGGAAGCATCCTCAGGTAGTGTAGATTCAAGTTTGTTCAAATCATGACCCCTGGGGGTAGGGTGGGGCCACAATGGGGGATCAAAGTTTTACATAGAAATATATAGAAAAATATCTTTAAAAATCTTCTTCTTAAGAACAGCAAAGCCATGATTGGTCATATTTAAATGGAAGCATCCTCAGGTAGTGTAGATTCAAATTTGTTCAAACCATGACCCCCGGGGGTAGGATGGGGCCACAATGGGGGATCAAAGTTTTACATAGAAATATATAGAAAAATATCTTTAAAAATCTTCTTCTTAAGAACAGCAAAGCCATGATTGGTCATATTTAAATGGAAGCATCCTCAGGTAGTGTAAATTCAAGTTTGTTCAAATCATGACCCCCGGGGATAGCATGGGGCCACAATGGGGGATCAAAGTTTTACATAGAAATATATACAGGAAAATATCTTTAAAAATCTTTTTAAGAACAGCAAAGCCATGATTGGTCATATTTATGTGGAAGCATCCTCAGGTAGTGTAGATTCAAGTTTGTTCAAATCATGACCCCCAGGGGTAGGATGGGGCCACAATGGACAATCAAAGTTTTACATAGAAATATATAGGAAAATATCTTTAAAAATCTTCTTAAGAACAGCAAAGCCATGATTGATCATATTTATATGGAAGCATCCTCAGGTAGTGTAGTTTCAAGTTTGTTCAAGTCATGAAATCCCCCCCCCCCGGGATAGGATGGGGCCACAATGGGGGATCAATGTTTACAGAGGATTATACTGGAAAAAATCTTTTTGTCAAGAACAGAAAAGCCATGATTATTCAAATTAATATGGAGGCATCCTTGGGAGTGTAGAATGAAATTTGTTCAAATGAGGGCCCCCGGAGGTAGGGTGGGGTCACAATGGGGGATCAAAGTTTTACAAATGAATATATGGGGAAAAATCTGCTGCTCAAGAAAAGCAAAGCCATTTGTTATAGTGATATGAAAGCATCATTAGGTAGTTTAAAATTCAACCCACCCACCCCCCCGTAAACTTTTCAATACTGAACTGATTTTTGCTTTTTTTCCTAGCCAATGTGCTCAGGTGAGCGATGTGGCCCATGGACCTCTTGTTTAGTATTCTTTAGATTTCAGCTTGGTTATTGCACCTTCTTATTGGTTCGATGTTTCTTGAATTGATATTTTACCATATGTATATTTAAAACACCTTTTAAGTCAATATTATGTAATATTTGTAACACAAAATATTTAAAGTTTTGTGTAAGTATTAAATTTCTGATTAGATTTTAGATTTGTCTGCTATTATATTTCAAGTATCTCGAACAAGTTTGGTTACCGTTGTTTGTTAAAAAAAATCTTTTCCCAAAAATTAAAGATTACTTTCTACTTCAGTCCATGAGACTTTTGTCCTCACGATTCTCAAATAAATTCTTTTCGTACATCTTCCTTTTTTGGATTGTTCTAACCTTTCTATCATTTCAGATGAATTATCAGTATTTCTGTTAAATTCTAGCTTAGATATTTTTTTCTTCCAATATTTTGACTTCTTTCTTTGAAGTTAACTTATAAATTTAACATGTACTAACAGATAATTTGCTCATAAATTACAATTTCTCATAGCATGCTTTCTGAAAAAGAATGTAGTTTGTCTATTGAGTATTGAAATTAGAATATGGCTACTTTTCCTTGATTGACATGACAAGTGCGTTTTAATAAAGAGACGATGAGAATTAAATGATTTTTAGTGGACAATTTGGCTTTTACACCATGGTATGTGTTCGCCAATCAAAATTTCTGGAATCTTTTTCGCATAACAAAGACATGAAAGTTTGTCGTGAATGCTGAATGATGTATCTGTTGCTCTATATTCATGTTTATTCCTGAATTCAAAAAAATGAAATTTAGTGCATTTTGAATGACAACGGACGGTCATAAACTTAACCTCACCTGTGAGGTCATGACAACGTACCAGTTTCAGTATTTAACTTTACAGGTCTCAAACAAAGGTACTGCAACGTGTTCCTGGCGTGATTTAGCATGGCAATTTAATAATTTTCGTAAGACCAAACTGTAAAGAATAATTTTGCCCAGTGTCTTCGACAATATAAAAGTTAAATCTCTTAACTGACTGCTTTGGAATATTTTCATATAATATAAAAGAATTTGGACAGTATAGACAGTGGTTTATCTACTTATGAACTGTAAACATGGTACTTGAATGTATAATCCAATAACTAAAATATGAAATATTTTATAAAATATAAAATACCTCCATTTTCAGGAAAATAAGTTGAATTTGCAACAATCACTGACAAAATATTCATTATTTTTCTATGCCATTATATAAAAGGGGTTTATCAAGGAATAATATCCAATCCTAAGAGATTGCTAGACGTGTCAAGTGCCCAAGTACTTTGTTTTTGTTAGTAGAACTTCTTTTCTTATTCAGACATAAGACACTAAAAGAAAAAAGACACAAATACTTAAGATTAATGTAAATAACGTTTAATTTCTTCCAACCGTTAGCATCCCACACAAACATTCAATATATCTGAAAGTAAAAAAGAATCTTTATTATTACACAATGTCATCTAAAAATTGTTTTGTAAATATAAGACATTTGAAAATTAATACGGTCGATGCTTATAGTTAATAAAATAAAGAGACACACTTACTTTAGGATCATGCGTTATACTCAGTAACTGTATTTCTTCTTTCTGTAATATTTCCTGCCTGAGTAGTAATATTTACTTGGATACCTATATTTATACTTGTACGGGAAGTATCGTCGATATGGGTAGTAGGGTTTGTAGGATCTAAATGAAGAATAATATGTTTTCATGACATCGTCGTCGCCATTTCCGTTGTCACCATTTCCGTTATCATCGCCATTTCCGTTATCATCGCCGTTACCATTTCCATTATCATCGCCATTTCCATTCCCATTATCATCACCATTTCTTCCATAGTAATATTTACTTGGATACCAAGACTTGTATTTGTATGGATATGATTTGTATGGTCTGTATGGCCTATAAGCAGAATACCAGGAACTCATACCATTGTCGTCACCATTATCGTCACCATTTCCATTATCATCGCCATTTCCATTATCATCACCATTTCCGTTTCCATTATCATCACCATTTCCATTATCGTCACCATTTCTTCCATAGTAATAGTATTTGCTTGGATACCAGGATTTGTACTTGTATGATGAGTATGGTTTGTATGAGTAGTATGGTTTATATGGTTTGTATGGCTTGTATGATTTGTAGGGATAATAGAATCTTTTCATATCATCATCGTCTCCGTTATCTCCATTACCATTGTCCCCATTTCCGTTATCGTCGCCATTTCCGTTATCGTCACCATTCCCATTATCATCGCCATTTCCATTCCCATTATCATCACCATTTCTTCCATAGTAATAGTATTTGCTAGGATACCATGACTTGTATTTGTATGGATAATATGATTTGTACGGTCTGTATGGCCTATAAGCAGAATACCAGGAACTCATACCATTGTCGTCACCATTTCCATTATCGTCACTATTTCCATTATCATCACCATTTCCGTTATCATCACCATTTCCATTATCGTCACCATTTCGTCCATAGTAATAGTATTTGCTTGGATACCACGATTTGTACTTGTATGATGAGTATGGTTTGTATGAGTAATATGGTTTATATGGTTTGTATGGTTTGTATGATCTGGAAGGATAATAGAATCTTTTCATATCATCATCGTCTCCATTACCACCATTACCATTATCACCATTTCCATTATCGCCGTTTCCATTCCCATTATCATCGCCATTTCCATTCCCGTTATCATCACCATTTCTTCCGTTGTAATAGTATTTGCTTGGATACCATGACTTGTACTTGTAAGGATAATATGATCTGTATGGTTTATAACCAGAATACCAGGAACTCATACCATTGTCGTCACCATTGTCACCGTTACCATTATCATCACCATTTCCATTATCGTCGCCATTTCCGTTATCATCACCATTTCCATTATCGTCGCCATTTCTCCCATAGTAATAGTATTTGCTTGGATACCATGATTTGTACTTGTAAGGATAGTATGGTTTGTATGGTTTATAGCTAGAGTACCAGGAAGCCATGCCATTGTCATCACCATTGTCACCATTACCATTACCATTGCCATTGCCATTTCCATTTCCATTATCGTCACCATTTCCGTTTCCATTTTTGTCACCATTTTTGCCATCATCCCCGTTCTTACCGTAATATTTAGAAGAGTATTTGGGGATGTAAGAGGTGTAGGGATATCCAAGTTTGAACTTATACCCATCTTTTGGGAGATATGAATTTCTTGGATAAAACCAGGAATCCATACCATTATCTCCATTACCATTGTCGTCGCCATTTCCGTTACCATTATCATCACCATTTCCATTATCTCCATTTTTGGATTTACCGTTACCATTTTTACCGTAGTAATAATTACCATAGTAATATGGATCATAGTAACCGGATTTACCATTCCTATCATCGCCGTTTCTATCATCACCATTATCGTCTCCATTTCCATTTCCGTTGTCTCCGTTTCCTTTGTCATCACTGCCCTTATCTTTGCCAGATCCATAGTAGAAAGGGTTGTAGGTATATTTCTTATCGTAATAGTCCCATACGCTGCCTTTTCCCACCTTACCACCGTAGTATGATCCGCCCTTGCCACCATAGTACGAAGGATAGTACCCTCCATAGCCCTGGGTGGCTATTTGCCCTACCAAGCAGGCGGTAAGTACACACAGAAAGGTCAGACAGGTATCCATAGCTGAGGCAGGTTCCTTTTCACAAAACAAAAGTAAAACAATCTTTCTTAAATAGATTTCTTTTATCCTGTATAGAATACTATGGATGATAAAACTACAATTTCTTCAGAAAACATTCACTAAAATTTATTCTAAAGAACAATCTAATTATACTATAAACATATTATATTTCAATATATAGTTTGTTCATTTTTCCTATTTTGCAAAGCCTTGCAAAGCACCTTACATCTGTTAAAAAATATGAAATTTAAGGCTGGTTTAGTATGTTTTCTTACCTATTGGAAGTCTCCTCAAAATGAAAGCAAGCAGTCTGCTAGTGATTGAAGCTTCCAGTCTTTTATACCGATCTGGACGTTATTTTTATGCATAATTACCAGAAATGCATAAATTATAGGTTAGTCTTTCGCTGCAAAATAAATGCAAATTGATATTGATAAAATGGGGGCAATTTTGGGTAACGCTTATCCTGATTTTTGTAACAAGAGTGATGGATTGTCTGGGGGTTTTGAATGCACCAAATAAGACCGTGTGAAAAACAGGAATCACCGAAGAAATTCTTTAATTTTTCAGAAACATAAATTATGAATTTAATTTTGCTTTACTCCTTTTTATCACTGGAAATTGCAAAAACTTAATACAAAGAATACTTTTGTCAAATAAATACCTTTTTTTTCCCCCGTGGAGCTCCCCTATTATATTTATTCAATTGTGTATTACCCGCCCAAAGTTCGTCGCAATAAGGTCAAAATTCTTTTTCGTGAAATGTCATTTAAAGCATGTTAGGTAGCTATTGGCATGGGTTGATTATCATAATTGATCTGTTAATTTTGTTTGGATCTCATGTGATGATTAAAGATTGCATTCTAATTTCTCAAAACCGCAAATAAATCCTATATTAACTCCTGTCCAAACAGCTTACAGAAAGAATTCTGCATTATCAGCTGCTTGCCTTCTTGTTTAGATTTTTATATATCATTTTTAAAATAATCTAATATCTTGAGTTTTGTTAAAATATCTGACAGCAATAACAACAGTGCATAGGTATCTTTTTCTGTTTCAATATTTGCTGATTTTTTAAATACTTAGCTTGCTGATAAAATGCTTTTTTATACCTAGTGCTGCTTGCTAAATACGCTGATCTTTTGCAAATTTAAATAAGTCAGTGCTACCTCCGGGTCAGTGTTATGAAGAGTAGCATTGATGTAATGATGGTGAAATAAATTCATTCTAATTGAAAAAAATACAGATCTTTCCACCTTCAGTTAGAGGTCTTTCCACCCTCTTGTTTTGTAACATAATTTTTGACATATTTGGCTCTTTTCAGACACATTCGAATCCAAAATAATGTTTGAAAGATTTAAAACAATCATTCCGAGGAAATTGAACTTCTTTTACTTTAAATATTTTGTTATTTTCTTAAGTGATCAAAACCAATTAAATCACTCATTATTCAAAATTAATATATTAAACTGCTCAATCAACTACACTAAAATTTTCGTGGATGTTTTCTGGATACTGGGTAATAACTCTTGACTGTTCAGAATTATTTCGAACTTTATTGACTTCCATGGATAAAAGTGCACCTTGTTCATTGATAAATCAGTCATCAAGATTTATCCTGTAGAAACATCATGTTTATATGCAACAAAACACTGGAGAAGTTCAGTCATCTACTTTGAAAATTGATCCACCTCTGGAATTTTCTGGGGGTCTGTGTTTTCTGACCTGTTCACAGATTTCTTTTGTTTGTAGGTTTTTGAGATCGATCACTGTTCGTTATTTTCTTTTTAATTACAAACATAGACGTACCAGTCGCATATACAAACTATGCACCAGTATCTGTACAGGTACATGTATCATAGAAAACGTTATCTTGAAATTTGAACTCAACATTAATTATACATTCGTTGATATTTTCTTAATATTTTTAGAAGGTTAAGTAATAAGTCAATTTATTGTACCTTTCACATAATTACACCTGCCAGATTTTCTATCCTTGATCTTTAAGATATTTCATTTCTGTAAACGAAGTTAACTTTTATATGATGTTGCATAGATTTAGTGGACAGGTTAAGGGTGATTTTCGATTCATCAATCAGTATGGACAAACCCATTAGAGGAAGTGTTATTGTCTCTAATGAGTCATCTTTCAGTGACTTTTAAGTATTGAAGTTTTCATATTTTAAAACATTTATTTTACCCCCCAGTTCTTGATTTTTAAGAATTTTAATGATTGTGATTGTCAGTTCTTTAAGTATCTTAGCAGTAATTAATAAAATTCGTCACTTAATATGAAAATATATTTTTTAATCTTTAGCTATTTATATTTATTTAGTAATGTTTTTATATTCGAATTTTTCTGACTGCATAATATAACACTGTTATCACATTCAGTGATTTGTGTAAAGGTTGATAAAAAGCTGTAGAAGGACTGCAGTCCGTAGTTTCATCAGTATGAGTCAGTAGGCAACTTAAACTTAAGAGCGTGAATAGAAATTGAAAATGTTTAACAAATGAACTGATTATTAAAATTGATAACCCTTACGTTTTTGTTAAATACAGTGAAGTCATTTTTTTTCGTGGGGTCAAAATTTTTTGGTTTGAGTAAAAAATAATGGTTAGACTTTATACTGTTGTATATAGAATTTTAACATTTCACGGGGAACGCAAATCCGTGGGTCTCTTCATACCAAGAAATCAACGAAAATTAACCCCCCCACGAAAATGAGTGATTTCACAGTATATGTCAACTGTTTTCTTTTCTTCAATTATTATCATTGAAGCAGAAGAGATGAGTTATCATTACAGAAACGAAAAAAAATCAGATGAGAAACGAAAAAAATCAGAACAGTTAAAAAAAATAATTTTTTTACATCATTTTTTGTCAAATATTTGTAATTTTTAGTAAAAAAAAATGGAACAGAAGTCAGTAATGCAATATAAAGTGATCTAAAGAGAATCTTTTTCACATAATACTGATATCTGTTGCTTGATTTGCAATAAATTAAATACTGATTCTGATTACTTTGAACGTATTTTATTGTAGCAGTTACCCACCAACCCTACATTAACAGACGAAAGTAGGCTTGGCAAATAAACATAAAAGCAAAATATAAAATTAATGATAGTGAGGTACTGATATTGTTCTTACAAAAGCTAAGCACATAAATAACAATTCTG